CTTCCACCTCTCTGAGCACTTCTTAGAAAACTCTGAGAAGTTAACGGAAGCATCTGGGTGCTTCTTCTTGTGCTCCTCTCGGCAAGTTTGCACAAAGAATGCATATGATGACATCTTGCCTCTCGGCTTCTTAGGATCTCCTTTGCCCATGTTTCCTTGCTTTCCTCAGCGAGGTACAGAGTCGCCCAGTGCCCGTCCGGCTCTCACTTGCCCCGGCGCTGTCTCTATGGAGCTCAATGTACTGCAATAGTTCCAGAACATTCTTTAGATAATGGAGATATTGAGAACCCACATACCCTAAAATAAAATTATACAGGAAAGTAGAAGAGTCCACATCCGCCTTTCACAATTTAAAAGACACAAGGCAATGACGAAGTAGAAAAAGGGGTGAGCAATTTACAATCATTCCACTTCCAAAGCAGAGCTTTAACTCTATAGCCACGTCTCTGACTTCTATTCACTGATTAGTCAAATGAAACTGTCCTAAAAATCTAGGATCAGGATCAGAGAATTATAATTAGTGATTCTCAGAAGAGATGGAGACATTTCCATTGAGAGGCCTCTGAGTCCTAGACTCTTCACCTATTGTCAACCAGTTAAAAGTCTACATTAGTATGTAAGTTTGGAAATGGGAATGTGGTTCACCCTGCACACTTCGTTCTGGTTCGCCCCTACAAGGCAGACAGCAAGGTAGAAACGGGCGCCTCAGCCTAAGAGAGGGACTCAGACACACTCACCTCTATATATGTAGTATCTACTCGCAGCTACTGATACATGTGATTTGGAGAAGTGAATTAAGATTATTGTTCATTGATTGAAAAACCCATGTTTCCAAGTGGTGTTTTTTTTTTTTTTTTAATCTCCACCTCTAATTTAGATAAGTTAAGATAGACAAGTTAATTTTAACTTTTGAAAATAAGCATTCAGCTGGCATAAAATATGTCCTTAGAGGTTCTCTCTCTCTCTCTCAAAGAAAAAAAAAGCTTTGATGTGCTTCTGATGCCCTTAAAATTTGTACTACAAATGCCAAGGTTGTATTTTTCAAAGAGTGACTCAAGGGCTACCGATATCTTTTTGCTGGCGAACATCAGATAGATTAATCAATCAATATAAAAGTTTTAAAGAAAAAACAGTGCTTCTCACATTACACAATGCATCAAAATCACCAGGAGGACTTGCTAAAACTGAACACTGGGTCACACTCTCAAAATTCCTGATTCAGTTGGTCTGAAGTGAGACCTGCACATCTACATTTCTTAGACGTTCCCAGGTGATGTTGATACTGCCAGGACAAAATCATTCCTGGAGAATCATTGCTTTAAATTATCAGTGTATAGCTTTTTTAAGGAGTTTAGAGCCCAAGACCCAGTGATATTTACTAACCCTTCTTCATGGCTATTTCCAGAGATAATCCTTGAGAGACTCATTGTTTTCTAAACTTCCTTCTCTATATCTCAATTAGAGTCCAGCCAACAGGAGTCCTTATCACCCTGCTTAGCCATTCGACTTTGCAAGGCCTAGGTGGGGGCAATTCCTACTTCTCATTAGAAGGGTTATAATCCACTCTGTGTCACCAGGTGCCCTGTCCTGCATACAATCTTGCCTCTTGGGGGCAAAAGCCACAGCTACATGTCTCTGCCCAGGAGGTCCATCTCATCCAGGAGGGAGTCCATGTCCTCGAGGCTCACTTGAGGGCTGACCACCACACCTAATGGAAGAAGTTCACCCTTCCCCAGTGGGGAGCATGAGGCTTCCCTTCTTCAGCATCCTCTCCTTAATGGCTGGGGCCACCAAATTAAGTTTTTCCCAGAACTCTGGTCCCTCTTCCATATCTCTGAGGCTTGGAGGAATGTACCAAAAGCAAATACTGGCATATTCCGGTTCCATTAGTAACTTGAGTCCTCTTTTCTTGATCACCTCTACTAGGTACCTAGATAAAGTAAGAGCACGATTAACTCTTTCTTCAAGGCCTAATGTCCCCAGGGCCTTCCAGGTCATCCAGAATTTGAATGCATCTGGTCTTCTGCTACATTGTACAGACTTGTCTCCCGTATCATAGCTGACATCATCGAATTTATCCTCTTGGAAGAGGTACGATGCCTTGGCTGAGTAGCATTTCTTATGAAGATCACATTTGCCTTTCACAAGTAAAGCAGAGCAGGGCCGGGGAGATGGCTCAGTAGAATAAGCGCTACCCTAACAAGCACAAGGACCTGAGTTCAATCCCCGGTTCCACCAAAAGAAAAAAAAACAAGTAAAGCAGAGCATTAGATTCCCTCCTTGAGCAAATTCTTAAGCAAATTTTAACTGTTAGCTTAAGGGGAGAGTTTACTTGCAAAACAGACAAGAACTAAACATGGTGGCGCATGCCTGTAATTCCAGCACTTGGAACGCTGATGCAGGAGGATTGCTGAGAGTTCAAGGCCAGCCTGGACCACAATCCAAAGACAATGAAAGTGAAGTCGCTTTGTATCCAGTGAAGGTCTGTACAATGACACTGTGGCTAGCTTTATCAACCTATGGGGATTCTTAACTACACCTTGCACTGCAGGGTATGTGGGTTGCCTCCAGAGTTGTAACTTTGGACAAGGGAAGACGATTCCATCCACCTCTCTTTCCGCCGTGGCATGTGGACAGAGCGCAGCCCTGCAGATTCATTCTATCCTAGGGTTGAGTGATCTTCAGGAAGTCAGGAGATAGGGGGAAGTCAAGCAGGGAGGGCACAGGTGTGTTGGTGGCCCACGTCTGTAATCCCAGAGCTGGGGAGGCTGAAACAGGAGGATCACGTCCAGTTTGAGCTGTCTAGGGAGACCCTGTACTAAATAAATAAACCAGCTCTTGGGAGGCTGTAAGGGAATAACTACGAGTCAGATATAGTAGTAAGACCCTGAACACCCTGTAGACTCCTCCCTAAAAATACAGAAAAATAAAATAAAATAAAATTTAAAATAAATAAATAGAATTCGGGACCTAAGAGAGTTAGCATGCCAAAATGGACTATTGGGCCTAATGAAAAGCAATCGATTAAAAAAAAAAAAAAAAAAAAAAAAAAAAGGGTCCTTTGTAAATGGGGAGCCGAACAGGGGTTGAACGGAGGCTCGGGGAACGGGAGGGACAAGTTATATCACGTACAAGTACAAATTCATGATGATGAATGTGCTCATTATACATAAAGTGCACCAATAAACTCTAACGTAAAAACCCCCACAGACATAGGTCCTTAACCACAGGGGAGAGACCTTGGAGGAAGTAAGAACAAATGAAGCAGCGTCTTCTCCAGATGCCAAAGTTCTGCCTGCAACCAGGAGAGCATCGTTGCTTTCTGTCAGGTACATCTGTACCAAAAATTGCATAAAAAGCCAAAGAACCTTAATACTTAGGGTGTGGCCATTCCCTACAGCATGCTGTTTGCTTATTGTGGGTCCCGAAGTAAAGACGCGAGAGCTACACAGATCCGGTTACAATCAGGGAAAGGAAAGGTCCCTTCGCACTCGGAGGGCAGGGGGAGGACCTGCTTAGAAGAGGGGTCAGGCGTCTCTTCAATGATTTGCGTCATCACTTGGGGTGCAGAGTATCGGGAATCGAACCCAGGAGCTTCTGCTTGCTAGGCAGGCGCAGTGCCACTGAGCTACACCCGGCCCTCGCATCGCATTATTAATCATCACAGCGGCTGTTTACTGAACTCCATCCACTCTCTGCATTGACGGAAGGGCTCATTCATCTCTAATCTCACAGCATCCCTGGAGGTGGCGCTGTACCAATTTTGCAGCTCCCAGGCCTTTGCTCAAATTCCAACTAAAAGTGCTTACGTATTGCTTGAGATCGGCCTGGGGTAGAGTTATCGGACAATGAATAACTTGTAATGCTAAACTAACACTAAAATTTTATTGGTTGTTTAGTTGAAATTTAACTGCGGTCCGTATTGATATTTGCTACATCTGGCAATACTACTTTCTAAATAACCGCCAAAATCAAAGCCGGCTCTTCCCTGATTTACTCAGTGGTTTTGTTGACTTTATTTTTATCTTTATGAGCAGTCATTAACAATGAATTCAGACTCGGCGCCTGAAGGTTTTAGTAGCTGCAGGGCAAAGTGGCACAAGGCTCCTGCCCTTGACCAACATGTCTGCTGATGAGCCTCACGAGGACCTTCCGCCCGATACAGAGATGGCCGCCACCTGCCACCGCTGATTGGCTCCTGTTGAAAGCCCATCCTCCCGCGCTGACGAAAGCCCCTTCCATTGGGCAGTTACCCAAGATGGCGGGACCCAGCCTCCCGTCGGTCCTCGTGCGCGGGGATCTTGGCGTGGGGGCAGGGCCGCAACAGCCGCCAGGATTTGGACTCCACTGATTGGCGGAGAGCGATGGCTGGGCGGTCACGTGGTCCCAGACGTGTTTGTTTGCGGAAATAGGGGGAAGTAGAGGTGCTGAGTAACCAGAGGTGAGTGAAGGTTCAGGGGAGGCGGGTCCCCTCAAATCTCGGCGCTCCGGATTGACTGCACGCGGACTCTCCGTTGGACCTTTGTCATTGGCCCGGCTCTGAGGCCTGTACTCCACTGAACCTTATGTTACCCCTTGAGTGCCCCTGGCTTGCGTCCCCAACTTCCATTCCATGATCACACTGGTTTCATCTCTGGCTGTGTTCCCGCAGAGACCCCGATGATTCCACTTAGGTCCCTCCCCAGCACCCCAAGCCCCTTGTCTCTCGTATGTCTAACTTCTTGAATCAACCAATAAACTCCCATCTCAGTGCCCCCCATTTTCATCCTAGAAACCATCGCTTGTTCCCAACTTCCTTCCTGTGCCCAAGTTCCTCAGTGTATTCCCACTGGACCCCCTACTTCCTCCTTTTGTTTCCCCAGTTCCCCATTTCTGGTTCCCTGCTTAGCCTCTCCTAAGTAGCTCTAGATTTCGTCCACCTTCACATGCACCCTCCTCCCCCAAGGCCCAGTCGCCCCAGCGTCCCAGCCCCCAGTCCAGTGTCCACTTTCTGCTCCCACAGAAGCTGGTGACAGCTTGTGACCGTGTGGCTGGGTGTGGGCGTGGTTGCGGGACGGGAGGGGACAGGGATCTGTGTCTATTTTCTTAATGTGCTATGCACATGACCCTAAACAAATACCTTTGCTTCCCTTGAGCTCCGGGTCTTTCCCTCACCTGCCCTTTTGCCAACCCAACAGGATGTTAGACAGGTTTAGTTTGGCAACGTCAGAACTCCACCCTGGGGCTGAGTGTGGTGTTTTTGTTATTGTCTCTGCCTTAAAATGTTCCTGGAGTTAGGAGGTTTATTTTCTGTCCAGGTCTCAGTTTCTCATCCGTGGTGGGGGTGGTATGGGGCTAAATTTACTGCTCAAATGGGGCTGCAGTTGAGTTCAGCATTTTAGTTAAAAAACAATAATAATAATAATAATAATAATAATAATAAATAAAGGGCAGGGTTTTTGTTTTGTTTGT